GAGTCTGTCAGTGGCACAAACAACTACTGTTAGTAGACGGACTCTGATGTGTGCATTTGTCCCCAAGAATTAACGTTAGCTCACTTTGTGGCCATTTTAGGCCTTTCTATGGATATTTTCACATCTAACTTTGTGAATTATGTGTTTATTTTGACAAACCAGAGTTAGTGAATGTTGGAAAGACTAACAGGTTTAGTTAGTGGAGTCTGGTTGGCCGTAGTGCCCGTAGTTTTGGTCTGAGATGCTGATGTTCTAGTGCAACATCTAGTTGCAGTAAGTTTTGTATAAACACAGACATGTTTTTAATATCTGGTTTTAGAATAATTGTATTGATTATGTCTCTGTCCACATACACCATTCAGGTACACTGAAGCTGGATGAGGGCCGTCATCGTCTCACCTGTGCTGAGTCTGGTAGAAGTCTGTGTTTCCTTCTGGCCGAGCTCGCTGGCAGCGTCCACGTCAGAGCAAAGCTCTAGGTCCTCGTTCGTGGATCCGTGCTCATCGGACACGTAGGAGATGCGATCTGATTGGTCGCTGGTGTCGGAGAGGGCGCGGCTGCTGCAGGGCGTGTCGGAGCGGTGATGATGGTGGTGATGCTGGTTGAGTTTGGCACGAAGAGACTCGATGACCTTGTCCTTCTGCTGCAGCTCCTTACTGAGCCTGAACACACACAGACACACACATACAGTCACTCCATTTACTTTATAACAGACCAGCAGAATAAAACTGGGTGGGGAAAGTGAAAGACAAGTTTACCACCACTGAGTTGCCCTTGAGCAAACACTGAATAAAGACCTTGAACCAAAGACCCATAGACCATGTCTGGCAACATAAAATCCAGGTGTAAATCAGTCTAACTGTATTAGATCTACGTGTATTTCTTAGTGAAAATCTATAGAACTGAAAAAAAGCACCTTAACCGCAGCGAGAGGATCTGGGAACAGCTGCATTAGTTGCCTTGTGACTTAAAGGATAATGGGCATTAATGAGGAGCATTGTACCAGGTGTGTGAGTCACCTGCAGGCTGATCTGGACTGTCCCACAGAGGCTTTACTGACTGCGTCGTGAAGCCTCTTAGTGACTTACACAGACGTTACACTGCATCACATCACACAGGTAATAATGCGGACTCATACTCGCTGACGCTGACATGAACCCAGACGGGCAGATACCAAGAGGACCGTCACACTGACGAACAGTCACACAGCTTGCGTATGCAGTGTGTCGCCTACAGATGATTTAATTAACAGTGACATGTTGGTGCACAGATGCTGAGGTGAAGGTCATTCATTTAAATCGATGACGTGCTGATACACACACACACACACCCCGCTCTCCCCCATGTGGGAACACGCAAACTTACACACCAACCAGAAACCAGAAATTATTGACGGACGAGGGTAACGTATTAAAGCTTTATTGACGTTCACCGACTTCCTTCCTCGCTCTCCAATGTACCACCACCCGGGAGTTATAGCGCAGAGGCAAGCAGGGAAACACGCCGTTACCTACAGCAGTGGTTCTCTTAAGGGATAAATATTTAATCATTTAGTAAAGTGACTCAGTGACATCTTTTATGGATATTTCTTATTATATTAAAAACTGTACAATGATGAACTCAGTAACTACCAGGGGTTTGTGTAAAACAAGTAATTTGCATGAATTTTGAGCAGATTTTTTCCTGTTTCGGCAACTTTTTATACAATTCTGTCTGTATTATGTATTTTTTATATATTTTTAACACTCACACAGACTTAATAGGCTTTTTCTTGTCCCTGACCTTTGTCCATTGTTTGCTTTCCTTCACAGAAGTGAACCAGATGCTGATTAGATGAGATTTAGGCTTACTGGCTTAAGTTTTCTGGCATGTTTTAAAATCAAGAAGGCCTCAGGACCC